TAGAGTGCGACGATATGCCCTTCCCTTCTCTGCCGATTGCTGCGATGATCGTCGGACGCCTCTCCTGGCCTCGCGGGTCTTGGATACACGGCACCTCCGTTCACCGAGCTTTCCTCTGCTGGAATATATCCAACATCCTGGCTACTCTTGAGCGAAACCTACCGCCGTCCCGCCCAGACATTATCGGCACTCAATGGTGAGACTGGGTGAAGCACAAGGGACATGGCCGGGCACCACGTGCTTTCTGCTGAACTGGTCACTTTGGATATCCAGTATTCATTCATTCATTGCCTCCCTGTACTTGAGTCGACGTCTTCTCTGTCATTCACGAAAGCACGATCCGGCTAACAAGAGGTCTCCTCGGTTTAGTCAAGCTTTTCCTGGATCATGAGCAACCAGCTCTGCCGGGATGGAAAGGAGATTGATGTTCGGAGCAGGGATGGATTGCCACGCCGAAGCAATCACTCCTGACGAGGCCGTCATTCTTCCAGCGAGATAAGGCAGCCTCAAAACCTCCACAAGAGTCCAGAACACCCGGCTGGGGATGCCAGATCCCATGCCTCTAGGGCAGATGTCAAAATTTGCCCTCTGGGACATTTCATTCGGTGCCTCTGGTCACGAATGACTGTGGCAGCAGGACGACAAATGAATGAGTCTACACTCGCCCACAATAAGGAGAAGGAAGGGTTGCCGCAATGGCAGCAGTTGGTCTGTTGAGAGTATTCTGAGAGGACAGCTCAAAGCTTTGCAAACGTGAGTGACGCCGCCCTGTGCACATTCCACAGACAGAGTCAAAGCAGCGTGAGATCATTCCTACTTCGTCATTCGGAAAAGTTGTCATCCGGGAGACGTGTTCAGTCGCATCCCCAACCTCTTGTACTTCCAACGTGTAGTTATAGTCTTGAGCAATGAGCAGAGTGGGCTCACACATCAAGACACGAAGCGAATCATCACCCAATGCATCTGCCAACGGCTTGGATGGCTTGAGAATGCGTTGAATGATCACATCGAGCAGCAGGAGCGCGATGCAGACACCAGCAGCACCCGGAGAGACGTGCGCCTACACCAGCGGGCAGGGTCCGATGTTTGGGTTTTGTTTGCCCTACAACCTCTCCTCTGGACACAGGGGACTGTAGAGGACCACGGCAATGGATTGGGCTTCAATATGCGGCCAGTGAGGGGGATCGGGTCGTTATGGAGTTGGTCCTCCAACAAGGTATGGCGGAGGTTGACGGTACAAATGATGGGCCAGTTCCGATAATCACAACCTCAGCTATGAATGGACCCAGCATCGATTCGAGCAGCCTCTCAAGCCCGTAACAACAACACTTCGGGGAGTGATATTTCTCCCGTGAAATCTGCTTGATCGCAACCTGTAGTGATGTTTGTGTGCCATGCCATTACCTGGTCCGTATAGTAGGCTTCCTCCGTCAAGCCTTCCACTATTATATCAGCTTGCCTCCCGTCCCGTCAAGCCCGACAAAAACCAGAAGCTGAGGATAGGGCCAAGAAGGCAGCAGTCACTCTGGAAGCTATAGCCGCCTTCGTGGTTTCCAGCGGTCAAAATACCGGCGGTGAGAGAGAGAGAGGCAGAGCCAGGAGCGGAAAGTAAAGCCCAATCTACCTTTCGCCACGAAATTAAATCTGATGCTGGCGACACAGGTGGTCACTGCACTGAAAGCCACGGATGGCACACCCACTACCTCGGTGGGATCCCTACAGCTCTTCTGCAAAGATGAAATCGGAGATTTGGCAGGGAAAAGAGCGAGGCCAACAAACACTATATCTGTTGGTGTACCAATCGAGAGAGAAGGAGATCCGGGAGATATCCAAAGACTGTGAATGCTTCCAGGGTATCCGAGGTATTCCTCTCCAGTCCTGTTCTGCTGTTCGGCACTGAGCTGCCTCTGCTTTCCAAGCATTCTAGAAACAGATGCCTTTGCCCGTGGATTCTCTCTGGCATTCCTGCGGTGCAGCCTTGTGGGTATTGACCACCACTAAATCTCACGATATGAGCCCTTGCACCTCTTTCGAGAGTCGACCTTCTCTTTCCCGGGATATTGCGCACTCGGTCTGTTTATAGGACATCTTTTCTGCAACCGTGCAGATTCCCTCCAGGCTGAGAATGAATAGGCCGCCGCCAAGGCAGTGTCTGGCAAAGGCAGTGGCAGTGGCAGTGGCAGCGGCCGCGATTAATGTACCGTCTTCACTTTCTCACCCATTTTCTCGACATCTCACTCACATAAATCTCAGATCAACTCTCCTCTCTCTCCTTCCACGACACTCACCCTCCTCAACGCGGCCTCGAGACTCCCGTCGACAAAACTTGAGCCTTTCGCCAGCCCAAGATGGCGTCCCAACTCTTCCGATTCGTGCTTCTCCTATTCATGTTCCCCATGCTAGGTACACCGCTGCAGGACGTACTCACCAATGTCCCTCCAGACATGTTGCACCGTTTCCAAGTCATGGTCGAGGACTGCGTTGCCCTAGCTACCTTTGTTGCTGTGACCTTTGATGACTGCGACCCGGCCTACCTGCGGTATTTCCCCAAGGGCGACGCTCCTTTTGTCCAGTCCGTGTTTCGCCGCATTGCCAACCTTCCCCTCAACGCGGTCTTCAATCCCGGTGACTACGCCTCGATCATGCAGCAGCGAGCGACCATTGGCTTGGATCCGAGATTTACGAACATGGTCATCAACTACGACAACCACCCCGACGCTCTCTACCCCGACTGCGGGACTGCCGACAAGGTGGTCGGATACACCACCATCTCCAAGGACGGGAGCCAGACCTTCGTCATCATCTGCCCGCAGACGTTCCTGAAGTATCCCGATGCCGACGAGATCCTGAATCCGCCAGCGTGGGCGTGGAATCCATCCGGCGAGCTCTACGGCGGCTACGGGTGCGACGGCCTCGGCGACCACGACTCGGAACTGATGTTCTTCCCCGGCGCCGTGCTGCTGCACGAAATCCTGCACTATTACCTTCTTTTCAACAACCTCCCCGACTACGACGCCTTGATCAACCTTCACAACGGCGAGAGGCAGATCTGGGATTACGAGGGCCCGAACCCGCCCAGCGGATACGGCGCCTTCTACGCCCGGGTGCTCCAGCTTCTCTCGACACTCAATCCTGGTCAATACGGGCCGCACGAGGCCATCAACAACGCAGACAGCTATGCGGTCTACGCGCTGTCGATCTGGTGGCAATGGCGCTGCCAGAGACCCTTCAAGGAATCCGTCACTTACAACGATGGGACCAACCGACGTTACCCGCCTCGTCCTTCGCCGTCTCCTTAGCCCATCGTGACAGCACCGCTGCAGATACACGGTTCAAGGGGTCCCGAGGGGGCTGCGGCGTATTGAGAGCGTGAGAACGGGGGAGGGGGGTGGATCTGACCAGTCACATCACACACCCACAGCAATGGCAGACGCAAAATGGACCTGGGGCGGCGGGATCCGTCATACAAGAGACGATGATCAAGGACAGACAGGCAATGGTTGTACCGACAAGCTGGACAATGCGTCATGAGACACACAGGCAACAGGCAGACTAGACAGGTAGGCCGTGGATGACATCCCATCCTTGCGGCGCCTCAAACGTCGAGCCAACGCTTTGGTTGATCACCCGGCAATACGCTCTTGGAAGTAGATCACGTTTCTTCTGTAGTGTGCTTGCCAACAGGAATACATGTCAAAGGTGTTCTCATGTGTATACACCAGCCGAGTGTGAAACCGACCTCGCCCAAATCTTGCATGCTGTCTTTGAGGACTCGCCCTATGTCCATTCTTAGCGACCTTTACTCCCTGCGAATCATTCTTGATATCGTAGTCAAAGGTACAGCCGATCTGCAATGCACTTGCCAACAATCGCCCTGGTCCATGGATCTGCGGGTGCCCAAAGTGTTAACGAAATTCTGGAAGACTGGAAGTTGCACCTGCACCTGCACCTCCGGCCTCCTCAGTGTCAGTGCCCTGCAAGTGCCCTACAAGTGCTGGGAGCTGGGAGCTGGGTGCCTGGTCACGGGGGGCAGGTATGGTCATTTGTCATTTGAATATCATTTGTGCTGTCTGACAGAATTTCTTGGCAGTGCGGACCAATCACAGGCCGTATGTGGAGTCGCGCGACATGGACTTTTTGGTCATGACAAGGTGACAGCACCACCACATTTCCTTTGTTCCCCGCACAACCCCTCACACTTGTGTAGGGCACGGAGCAGGCCAGGGCCCAGGGGCCAGGGGTGCAGGTGCAACTTCCAGTCTTCCAGAATTTCATTATTAACACTTTTAACACTTTTTGGAACGATGCAGACCACCGCTGGCGCAGCACCAGCACTCAGCGCGGGCAAGAAGGCCGAAGGGAGAAGGGCACTCCTGGAATTTCAAACTTTGGCCGCTCGCAGGCACTGGGATCCCAGAACTTCAACTTTTGTTAGTTTAGCCACGCACCAATAGGCGCCCCAACTTCACGGGGTGAACAAAATAACGGCGTCCCGATTCCCAAAATACCGAGTCAACAAAGCACCAGGCCAACAAAGCGCTAAATCCGCCAACAGCTGAAAGAATCCGGGCAAATTCCAAGTTCCAACGCCGGATGCGGTGGTCCTGGAGACAAACTGCCTTTGTCAATTCATTATGCGCTGCACAGTGAACGAGGGTGCCAAAGGACCGGTGAGAAGCCGCAATAGAACAGCGTTGGAACCGTTGGTCGCGCATAAAAAGGAACCTCGCCGCCAAGCGGTCAAGTATCCTCCTTCACCTTCGCATCTGCGAAGGTCACACTATATATATATATATCTGCAAAGTCTCTCACCCATGGTCGCCAGGCTACACCGCGCACCCTCCGGAACCACACCTGCCTTTGTCCTTTCATTGTCTGTGAGGCAGTGAGCGACGCGGCGAAGCGAAGGAATGAGTAGCTACCACTGCCTCACTCGCCCTCAGGGCAGTGGCTCGAACCAACACGACGTTCAGGATTCATCTTCGCATCCTCAACCGACGATGCTTCTCACCCAAGAGTCGCGACCTTTGCCACTCACCCGCAGGAATCTCAAGAAACTCGACAAGATGACAGCCTCTGGGACTCATTCGAGTTCCACACGAACCCGCACGACGTCATTGGGAACTTCAAGCCTCAACCATCGCCGCCAGAAGCTCGAAGTCGCCGGTGTTAAAATAGTCCGCGGACCACCTCCCCTGGAGATTCAGGCTCTGTTGGAACTCATCTGGGCACGCGAAGTGTCGGATGAGAGAAGAGAACAAGTCACCAAGATAGTCGACAAAATGTCTGGCAATTTCGAACTTCTCGACCACGGTTCCAGAGAAGATGACTGGATCGATCCAATCGTCCTTGCCCTCGGGGAATTGGATCCAGACAACGTCTTCTGCATGGCCAAAAAATCAGGTATGATATTGACCCCCCCCCTTCTTCATATCTTCTGTGGCTCGAGGTTATTGCTAACTTCTACCTAGATCTGAGCGATCGGCTCCGGCCGGCTCCGCCACCACCTCTACGCCTTCGTCGACCTCTTCCACGACCTTCTCGGCTTCCACGGCAGTGTAAGAAACCACAAGGTATCCAGCGAAAATCAACCAAGCTGAATGCCTCACGTTCTCTCCCTCTTCCGCCTCCTACTTCGCCACCATCACCACCACCACCACCGCAGTCAAGTGCTGCACCTATTCAAACTCCCATCCCAGACGTTCTGCTCGGCTTCCACCCTCGAAAAATAGTTCAGGCACTGGTTCAGCGAAGCCTCGGCAAAGAAACCGCAGAAAGATACCTAGAACAACTCAACGACATGCGCGAACTCTGCTTCACACCGACTCGAGAACAGGCCATTGCGGTTCGATACCCGTTCCTCGTCATCGAAGGAAAGGCGTATTCGACCGGACAAGGGCTTTCCGCGGCACATTACCAAACTTCTCGAGCCGGCTGCTACCTAGTCAACCACCAAAGACAACTCAGGAAGGCGTTGGAGAGCAACTGTTTCGGCCCGGGAGGAAGTGGCAAGAGCCCACTCGTCTTCTCCATTGCGACCCATGGGGATGTCCTTGATCTCTGGGTGCACTATTTCGACCACGGGTACAAGATGAACCGCATCGACGTGTACGGCTGGCGTGGGTTTGGAGACCTTTTCCTGAAGCTGGAACGTATCATGGGATGGTCCAAGGACAATACTCTCAACCAGGTGGCCGATGCCCTGGTTGCGAAGTTCTTGGATAGGATGCAAGAACCGGAGGAAGACCCGGAGGCAATGTTGGTGGATGAATGATCCCATTGGAGCGACCTACCGTGTCAACCACCAACGACAACTCATGGAGGCGTTGGGAGGGCAACTGTTTCGTCCCCCGGAGATCAGTGCAAATCCCTGCTCGTCTTCTCCGTGGCGATGGTGGGACATGTCCTGGACCTCTGGGTGCACTACTTCCAAGAGGGTTACGAAGATCAGTACCTGATGAAACCGATGCAGACCCGCGGCGTGTTCGAGCTCACAGACCTTCTGTTGAACTTGGACCGCATCATGGGATGGTACAAGGACCAGACCCTCAACCAGGTGGCAGATGCCCTTTTCGCCGAATCCCTGAACTGGAGGGGAGCATCGGGGGAGAATGTGGATGCAATGGCGTTGGACGAATGATCCCGTTGGAGCGACCTACCGTGTCAAACCACCAACGACAACTCATGGAGGCGTTGGGGGGGGGGGGGGGGGGGGGTGGTCAGTGGTTCTGGAAATATTTCCCAAAACATCCGTCTCGACTGATGGTGAAAGTGGGGGGGGGGGGGGGGGGGGGGGGGGGGAGCAACTGTTTCGTCCCGGGAGAAAGCGGCAAGAGCCCACTCGTCTTCTCCATTGCGACGACCCATGGAGATGTCCTTGATCTCTGGGTTCACTATTCCTCCAACCGACGCATCTCCTCAATTTCAGCTCGCCGACTTTCTCTTTCCCGACCAGGCTCAAATGACATCCTTCGATTGGGACGAATTCCGACGGAAATTAAAGGCCTGCCTTCGATCCCAAGCCGCCTCGAGGTGCCGCAGGTGGCTTTTTGAAAGCATGGATCGTGCAGAGAAACGTGCAGGGAAACGTGCAGGGAATCGTGCAGAGACACGTGCAGGGAAACGTGCAGGGAATCGTGCAGAGAAACGTGCAGGGAAACGTGCAGGGAATCGTGTAGGGACACGTGCAGGGACACGTGCAAATGCTGGTGGACGAATGATCCCATTGGGAGCGAGCGACCTGTTTCGTTTCCCAAGCATCATCAGCCAACAGTATGCATAAGAAGACACAGAAACATGTGAGCCTCCAGCGCCAAAGCCACCTCCATCCATCCAGCACATGATGCCGACTGTATCTGTCGAGCCTGTTTGAATGGGACGGTGCCGTTGCGGACGACGACTGCAACCGAGGGAAACCCCAGGACACAATGCACTCGGATGCAGTGCAGAAATCCTGCGAATATCGCTGGTGCGGGCTGGTTGCGAGTAAAAGAACACCAAGTCAGAAGATTATCAAAATGAGAATATTTGAAAACCGATACCGACCTCGTGGCCGCCTGTTTGCTGTGTGTGCGCTGTAGTTCCAATCAAAGTAGCTTATACATACCATAGTGAACCGTCTGATGACCCATCACATCATCCATGGCTCTACTGATCCCTCGCCACATACCCTATACCCCATTATCCCCTGCTCAAGTCTTCCTAGTCCACTCACGTCGCGTGTCTTTCATTGTTCAGAACTGTTTGGGGAAGGAACGGCCGGGCGCCCCAAAGACTCCGAAAACTTGGTGCTTGCTTCCCTACCTGCACGGCAGATCTGCACCGAGTTCATGCACCTCGGTTCCGGGTTCAGAACTTTCTTCTGGGAAGCAACTTGTTTCTCAGGGTTTGATTTGATTCCGATCCACGGCCCACGGGAAAACATATATGCTCGCCAGTGTCTCCTTCCGGAAAAAGCCCAGCTGGTCCATTCTGAGTCAGGCGGCGCTCGGTGCAGCGCTGGCCGGCCAGGTTCATCGGCCGGCGGAGGATCTGCTGTGCGGTGCTGTGGTTTTTGCCTCAAAGATCCTGGCAGTGGGGGGACAGGGGAGATTGGGGGTTGGGATTGGAATTGGTCTCAGACACTTGACGCACGAGGCTGTTGCCGAGCGCAGGGCCCAAGCTAAGACATTGGCAATCATGAATCGATTCCTGCCAAAGGAGAGGAAGCGATACTTGGCATCGCTGGTGATCGCGATGGCAAATGGTGGTGATGATGGCGATGTCGGCTCTGAGGCCGAAACCCAAGGAGAGGAGGGATGAGCAACCTCCAGCTGCGCAAAGGGAGCGTCCAGTTGAGCCGCTGGTCGTTTATCCCTCGTGAAACCCTTGGTAGCATCGAGCTTCACCCATGACAATCAATTCCATCACTTGCCGTCCATCCCGACCCTTTTTGCGAAGCTGTCGGTCGGCTCACGTATTACCGAGGAGAAAGATTCCGGCAGCTTTTGAAAAGGACTTGCAGGGAAACGACAATTGATTGATGGCAACATAAAAGCAGAGGACAAGACGATTCCTCGATCTTCAGGCGTATTATTGAGTGGGTGTATCTGAGAAGCGCAGTTAGTGCTCGCCCTCAGCTCTCCTCGACGTGAATCGTGGCCTGGTCCTTTGTCCGGTGCTGCTTCATCTCCGCCTCGAACCCCACGCGGTCGATATCGTCCACGGTAAAAGCCCCCTTCTTCCCACTCGCCAAACCCGGGAACAGACGCGACGTGGCGCTCTTGGCCGAGAGGAACAGCAGGTCGATCTCTTCCAGCGACTTGTGCGCGGTCTCGGGGTAGAACAGGAAGACGAGCCAGAAATTGACAAAGTTGAAGCAGAAGAAGACCATGTAGAATTTCCAACCCTGGCAGTGGCAGTTTGTCAGCGTCATGCATAACCCTGTGGCTGCGAGCCCGGCCGGCGCAGGTGACAACTTACGATATTTGCGAGGCCTGGTGGCGTCGATACCACGACGACGTAGTTGATGGTCCAGTTGACGGCGTTGGCCACGGGATAGAACTTGTTCCGGTATTTGAAGGAAAGGATTTCGGCCGGGTAGAGGTATTGGAGACTCTGCCAGGCGAGGGCGAAGATCATCAGGTAGAGATACACCAGCACCACCACGATGTACCCGGACCATTTGGCCGTGCCTTCGGACGGATTGCCCCCTATGGCCAACACAATCCCGGCAATCAGGAAGCAGAGACCCTGACCGATGGAGCCGCTGAAGAACAGCGGACGCCGTCCAAACCTTTCGACTGCCTGTGGTGGAAGGCTCAAAGTCAGTTTTTGGGTCGACGGAATCGCCTCATTCGCCAAAGTTTCACTTACGAATTGCGAGAAGAGGTTGGATAGGAGCCACGGAACCCCGGTGCACGCCGCCAGTACCCGGGCTGGGGTCGACGAGAAGCCCAGCTGCTCGAAGATGATGACGATGTAGTAGGCAAAGACGTTGCATCCGCCAATCTGGCCCATGTACTGGGCGCCGCATCCGATGATCAGTCGGTACATGTGTCGTCCAGGTGCAGTCCAGAGGTCACTGATCGGGGTGGCTTCGCCGGCCTTCTCGAGCGCCACCACGGTCTGAATGTCCTCGAGCTGTTGCCGGACTTCGGGCGACGAAATATCCTCCTGGCCAGTGAGTCGTGCAAGGACCGTCGCCGCTTCGCCCATGCGGTCTTTCGAAGCGAGCCATCGCGGAGACTCTTCGCATCTGGGTGTCAGCTCCTGCCTGGGCCTTTTACAGCTTCTTCCAAAAACATGGAGAGGAGACCCACCTGGCAACAGAGGAAGAAGAATAAATACTGGGAGGAGGTACACCACTTGGAAAATTGAGGGGAGTCGCTAGCCGGAAAACGACGGGTGTCAGTCAGCATGAAACCTTCGAGAGCGGAGAGGATGCTACTAGACGCCGCCGACTCACCCATTGCAAAGATGTCTGCGAAAAGCTGGTCCCCAGAGTCAAGAACTGGGCCACGAGAAATCCGACATTCAAGATAAAGAGCTCTTGAAAGATGGCGCGCCCTCGGGCATGAGGAAGGCTGGTCTCGGAGTGGTAGACCGGCACCACGGAGGTGTTGATTCCTGGGCAGGCGAACACCATTAGTGAGCGGACCATCTCTTTTCACACTGTGCCGTTCGCCTCCTGCTCACCGTTTCCAAACCCTCCAATCATCCGTCCCGCTATCAAGCCACCGATACTACCCGGCGTCGTTTGGATGATGGCGCCGATCACACAAATGGCCGATCCGATCAGCTGTTGACACCCACCTCGTCAGCAACGGCATTTCTCGAAGTCGGTCCACTTCCATCAGGCAGTACTCACAATGCTCTTGCGATGTCCTATGCGTTCGGCAATGAAAGGCGTGCAGAGCGCCCCCACAAGATTGCCAATGTCAAATAGAGCGGCGACCTGTCCGGTCAACCCGGGCGACGGATGGTGGAAATACTCGACAAACGGCGGGCCACTGGCAATGCCGCCATACAAGGCGCAATCATAGCCGAATAAGGAGAACGCCAGACCGCAGACGATGAGGATCCAGACTCGGAGCTTGCGGCCCTTCCATTGCTTGGGTTGGAACATGTTCGCAGTCGTGGATCAAAGGAGAGCCAGAACAGTCTCAAGGTGGAGCAATCGAATAAGTAGGTCTTGAGGGCCTTCCTACCCCACAAAGCTGGGTTAGTCCGGGGTACATGTCTGGGATATATATTCGATCCCTAGCATAACAGCTCGAAGGGCCAGACGGGGGTGCGGAAAAGGGCATCGTGATAGTACCTGTCTCGACGAATGGTTTACCGAGTTCAGTTCTGTTTATCTAATTGCATGCAGGAGGGGGTCTACCTTCCTTGATATCGATGGCGTTCGATGCGGAAACCCACATGCGGAAAAGTGGTACTGCGGAAAATGCGGGTATGCGGCAAAGCGGTTCTGCGGCAAAGCGTGCTGCATGCTGTGGGCAAAGTGCTGGAGGCAGCGCCGGACGAAGAGCATTGACCCGAACTGCGTTGGCTGGAAAAGCATTGCGCGGAAAAGGGATATCAAGCGGGATTATACTTCGCTAGACGGAGGCTACTTCGCGATGTACTTGCTCCCCTCATGATCTTCTCCCGCCACCACTCAGTCTCGGTCTCCTACCCAAGGGCCTTTTGGCGAATTGCGCTCGCGGTCGAGGTTGGCCTGGAATCTCGGTCGGCATATGATGGAAGGAGATGAAAAAGGGAGAATTGAGAACACGGGACGAAGAGATGGAGACATTTGGGGCTCAAAGGGGGGGGACCCTCGGGCTGTTGCTGAGGCGCAATGCCACCGAGCACTCGAAGGTGCAATACCAAGAAAACATTGCTTGTTTGGGGCTGGCGTCGGTGTTGGGCAGCTAGGAGGGCGAAGAAGAGCGAAGGACATGTCGACGTCGACGCCTCCCGACATGGTAGTTCTTCAAGCCCGAAGTGGCAGTCACGTGGCAACCGCAAACCGTGGCTCAGGATCGCACAGCCACAGTTGAGAATGGCTTGGCCATGACGTAGGTTAGTTAAGTGGCGAGTTGCTCGCGTCCGGAAAGGGAAAGGGACTTTGGCGAGTCACGTGAGAGTGTCGAGATTCGCCGCTGAGTACGGAGTATTATGGTTTTACTCCGTCCATCAACAGAGGTCCCGAGCAAAGCAGCCGCAGGAACGTCTTGTGCTCTGATGGCTGAATCACCAGTTGAAGATCTACCAACATGACACGGTCAAGGCGTCATTCATGTAAATACCGGCGGGCCAGCCGTTATCTGATGCTGAAGCACGGTCTGGCGGGCGCGAATTACAATACAGGCGGAGTTCTTCTTTGAATGTGTTAGCGTGGGTCCGTCATTCCTGATTGCCTGGAGTTTGGAGGGGGAACGGACACACATCACAGCCTGGATGGGCAGAGTGACGGAGCTGGGGAGGGGGAGGGAGGTTTCCAGGGCGGCGAACGTGAGAGCAGCAGGATCGAGCATGGGCGCAGCATTCGCGTAGGTGGCAGCATGGGGATGGGCATCAGCATAGGTATGGGGACAGGATTGGGCTGAGGGGGGAGGGTGAGGCGAATGTGCTTGGGCTTGGGCTGAGGCTGGGCCTGCTGGGGATGTTCGGGATGTTTGGGATGCCTGTGATGCCTGTGATGCCCGTGATGCCTGTGATGCCCGTCCACGAGCATACAAGTAGAAATATGAGCATCGAGGGTCAGCATTATGCCCTCGGTGCAGCTGAAAGTAGTTTCTTGCAGGCATTGCCAGAAGCCACGGCATCCATCCATTCCATCGCAGCAAACCGTCCTGGAATTGGATTGAATGCAGCGGTGGTTCGCGTGGGAGCCCGTAGTGTTTGCCCTTCTTCCTTCTGGCAAAGGTGGCAGACCGTAGGATTTGCACTCGTGGAGAAGTGGTTAACCGGAGAAACTTGCTTGCAATTGCCATGACCGCAGGAGGGGGTAATGCTAGCCCCGCCTAATGTGGAAAGGTTTGTTTGAGCATTGCTTCTGAAGCAAACTCCTGAGAAGTGAGGCGATCCACATTGAATTTGGAATTGCTGGGCGAATGAGCTTGGGAAGGGCAGCATTTGTCTTCCCACCCCTTGCTTTGGCTGAGCTTTGGAAGGGCGGAGGGGTTATGAGGCGTTTTGTATCCAGTGTCTTGCTTTGGAGCACCGCTGAAAAGGGGGACGATCCACATTTACGTGAATTTGGAGTTGCTGGGCAAATGAGCTTTGAAAGGGTGGCTGGTTAGGGGCATTTTTGTTCCCAAAGTTGTCGCCGCCTATCCCAACTGGGTATCAAGCGGTCTGGCTCAAGGCAAAACAGAGCACTGCTACCCGTACTTGCTCAATTGAGCCAGGGTTGCCAATCAAGCCAAGGTGTTGAGACGGCGATGGTCCTTTGTCCCACTTTTTTGTCGGACGGGCCTATAAAATCATAGTATTGTCGAGTCACGTGACGGAAACACCGACTGGGCCTGCCACTCCCCAGATTCTCACACAGTGGCAGTCAAGCCGTCAACCAACTTGGTTTCACGTAGCAGATCAACAGGTGAATATCTGTTTGACCCTCTCTTTGCACGGTGGCCCAGTACTGAAAGCTCTGGCGACAGCTGAAGCCAGAAGGCGTGAACAAGGCTGTCAACGGAACAATACAGGGATACCAGGCTTGCTTCATGTGACGGTAGAGGAGAGAAGCTATACTGGCGAGTGCACATGGTATCGGCTGCAGTACCGGAGTGAGGCTATCAATCGACTGGTTGGCCAACTCCACGTGATAGTGAATGGACAGTCTGTTCTCTCAGTGGGAGTATTTTTGGCAGGGCAATGAAGCCAACCAAGACCAGTACTTCTTCCTCCCCACGATAGTACTATCGGCTGGGGCTTGTTCCAGGTGATGATTCTGACGACTACTCATTGCATGTGATAGCGAAGGGGGGATGGCATTATTGCCAAGTGGGCATAGTTCCAAACGGGCCATTGGGTTGCTCGACTAGTGTTGGCGCCACTTGATCAATCCAGCAGCTTGGAGCAAAGTGATTGGCTCCTTGCTTACGGTCTCACTTGGTAGAAGCACCAGACAGTGATTCTGACAGCCGCGCAAGTGGTTCCCGCTCGGACCAGGGGTAAGTACTGGTCAGTCACTGAAGCTAAAGCCATTCTCAGTAGAGATTCGCGTCTCCTCTCCACCCATCATCCCAACGGGCCATTCTTTTCTCCTTGGCGGCTAGTAACACAGAGCTATATTACTCTCCAGGCAGCCCAACCTTAGTCTCGCCACACCCACCTCTTCCACTCTTATCAACCACCCACCCAATAGCCTCGCCTCGGTTCTGAGTTAGAGTCCAACCAAGTCCCACAATGCCTCAGAAGAGTCGGCAGCGGCGTCTAACAAAGCCTCGGAAGGAACGGCGACGGCGTCAAATCCCATCAGAGTAAGCACTGCCCTTTTTGCGAGACCAGACGACTGACGATAGGGTACAAGGTCGAGGTCGACGCCCCATGTTTTGCCCGGTTCTCCGACGCAAGATTTCGACGCGGAATCGCAACTGCTCGAACCCGCACCCCAGCTGCAAACGATCAAGGCCGCGCTGGAAATCCAGATGCGCAATCCCCGACTGGCCCAGCTCGACATTTCGTGCTGGTGTATCAAAGACGATGGCGTGGACCAGATCTTGCATCTGTTCGAGGCCCTCCGACCGCGCAGGGTGAAAGTGCGCATTATCACCAATTTCTTTGATGGGAAGAGCCACGTGGACGCCATCCGGCGCGTGAAGCAGTCCTCGGACCACGTCAGGATCAAGCTTATGGACTCCGAGGAGAGCGCCCTGTGCTTCCCCCCTTGGGGGTGGATGTTCCATGACGGCGCGGGCAGCTGCTACGAGTCGGTGCTGGGGTTTAACTCGGGGATCGAGGAATGCGGGCTCCTGACAACCACTGGGGACAAGGAGGACGGCGCCGCCCGGCACGTGATGGAATTCAACCGGTTCTGGGACCAGCAGGACGAGTCTCTGGAGACAAAGCTACACGAATACACCGAGGCCACCCACGCGCGGTGGGTGCTCATGGAAGAGGATGATCGCGCCATATTCGGCAACGGTGTTGAACGGCCAGTCACGTTTTTCTTATCGTAGGAGCGAAGACAATGTGCATTTTGTATCAATAATGCGGATCTGTGTGGAAGGTTGTTATTCGGAATTGCTCAGACTAATCGAATAGGAGATAGCGGTACGGCTGGAATATGATTCTTCCGGGGGACCCAAAAAAAAGACGGTAGTATGGAATAATGATATTCCGAATCGCCGAGGCGAGCTGGGGTGGCTGGTTGACCACCTTCCTCAAATAGCTAGGCGGCCTCGGACTATCACGTGAGAGGAGCTGAATAGAGAAGGCGAGTCAGGAGGCGTCGAGTCTCAAAAAACGTTCAGCCCAAGCTTGTTATGTGCAGCAAAGTTGCCGGGACCATCGTGACGGGGCGAGTGTCCATTTTCATCGAGTGGCAAGGCTCCATGGGTTCGACATGTACACAGGCATTGCGGGAGCATATGTGCACAATTCCCAAAACCTGGCGTCGGTGGACCTCGACATGACTAACCAAAGCCTATCCTATCCATCCTACGTTGCTCCTCCCTCTCCTGCCACGAGGGCTCGTCTCGTATTCATCGACCTGCAAGTAATGTAGCTCCTTCCATGACTCATCAACAACAGAGGTTCTCTATTATCCGCCCAACAAGGAAAAAAGAGTGGTTGGACGGGAGAGTCCTTCCGGGGCCGTCGCTAATCAAGTATTTGGAAGACTCATGATGAGTATTTTGCTCCGTATCTTGAACATCCTCTGGCTGTGCTTTGGACTTCCATTTTTTATCGATTGAACGCCATCGAAGTCACGGCGAAACGGCCGAACTGCAGGAGCAAGTGGGAAAGGCCGAAGCCTACCTAGATGGATTTCCAATGAGTCTTATATAAATGAATCCAAGTTGGTCCCACACAAGCCACTCGGATCGAAGCCGCATAAGGTGCCAAAGCTGCGTCCAGATCCGCCGCCGAATCCCAAGTGGCACAATGATTGTACCCAGAGACCCAGTTTCAAGTGGCACGTGACAGTGTGTCGAGTTCGAGATCCATTGCTTTGTGACACGACGGGCCTTTGGATTACCCGATTAGGCGATTTGGGTGCCATGTTTAGAAGGCCCAGTCTAGACGCGAATGCTCAATCTGGTTGTCGCCCTCGCAGTCCAACAGGTACTATGATTTTGTTAATTAGCTCCCGGAAAGGAATTATCTTTTGCTCCAGTCAGCTTCTTGATATTACGGGATAGTATCGAAAATGTCATCCCCATGCGACGCTGCCTGACTAGGACCGATGGCCCGCTGATGCCTCCTGCCAAATGTCCTCGTAGGACTCGAGTTGGACCCCTCTCTGCTGGTAGAGAGGATCGCTATTGATGGCGCTTCTGACTTCCGAGCGTAGAGGGTCGTCGATAGGGATCGCTTTGCTGTACGGAGGCGCGCACCAAAAGTGTTGACCCCGCTAGTTTTTAGCGCATAGACTAGAAACCTGTTCTAGGCCATTGTAGGACTAGGTTTTCACCCCGCGGCCAATCTTCTATAGTAAACAGAAGTCGCCTAGTATGTTGCCCTGCACCTTTTCTCAACAATCACATCAATCACACTGCCTCCAATGCCTGCGCAATCGCCAACAGTGGTATATCAGGTAGGGAATAAGGCCCAGGAAGGTCTGTCTATGGTTAATCTCGTACATTTGGCCATGCCGTTAACTGATTTGTATGCAGAACAAGCCCGTGAACGCGAATCTCAGCGCCCGCGAATACCTCAGAACCCGCGAGCGCAGAGACCTCTCCCTCAGGAACAGGCCACTGACTATACTAGTGTTCGCTATTCGCCAGCGTAACGAGTGTAGACACTTACGTTATTATCGCTCGGCTATTCGCCATAGTAAGTTAAGGTCTGGATTAAAGTCCCTGCGAGATAGGCTAGGAGGATTCTTCAAAAGGCAAAAGAGCGTAGTTATCGTCCGTAGGAGGATCCTCGCATTCTCAATCATTATGTTAAGGACGGCGTTAGGACAGGACGACCTAAGGAGATAACTAACGAGGTTAAATAACGTATTCTGGCGTTTATTGAAAAGAATAGATTAGGCAGAGAGAAATCTAGCGACGTTTTAGCCTATGAATTAGGTATTAGCACGTCCTCTGTTCTACGCGTTCTACGTAAGAATAACCTTAGGAATGTCAAACCTACGAGAAAACCTAGTCTATTAAGGGCCTAGCGTTCAGTTCGATTACAGTTCTGCCTACGCTATAAGGACTAGACGCTAGAGGATTAGAAGAACGTTATCTGGAGCGACGAAACCTCAGTTATGCTAGGTAAACGAGGAAGGTAGAGAATCTAGCGGCGAGCGGACGAGGCCTTTATAAAGTTAGCTATTCGTAATCGCTAGAAAGGCTTCTCTAAGTTCATGTTCTAGGGCTGTTTTACTTACGATCTAAAATGCCCTTATTTTATCTAGTATTCTGAGACAGTAAAAGAGCGTTAAGAGGTAACTGAATACGTCGATCGATTGAATAAGGAACTGGAACCGATCAAGAAGGAGGAGTAGGAGTTATAGATAGGAACGAGACGATTAGGCCTTAGGAATAAAGGTGGTAAAAAGCTAACCTAGCGATTTATAGAGGTAACTGGTAAGTTAGTTAGGAAAGGTAAAGGTGGCATTGACTGGTATCGCTATATTAAGGTAGGCGATTTAGGCGATCTAATGCCTTCTCTCGCTATTTTCTATGTGATTTACTAATAGAATCGTAATCTAGTTTATCGTCCAGCTATTAATTATCCCGTTTGCATAGGAGTGCTAGAAATCGCGATCTGAGACGATAGTCCAGGAGGATAACGTATCATCTCACGCCTACTGGTATACGCAGTAAATCTATCAATTTTATCGAATTCCTCGTCTTCCACATCCTCCTAATTCACCTGATTTAAACGCCTTAGAAAAGGCCTGGCCATGGCTCAAAAAGGCCACGATATCTCGCGGTCCTCCGCCGTCGATAAACGAACTAAAAAAGACCTGGAAAGAGGGGTGGAATAGCCTTCTATAGGAGTAGATTTAGCTATGGATAGAGGGCATTCTACGTAATATTCAAGAGATTATACGACTCGAGGGCGGCAACGAGTATAAGGAAGGCCGAGACACCAGGCGTAGCTACAGAGGCTACCGGAAGGTAGGCCATTTACATAAGCACGTTTACCTACAGGATTACAGGGTAGGCGACGGCGAGGTCGAACAAGTAAGCCTGCCTACTATAGGCGTGGCCGAATGGCTAATCTACAGAACGCCTGGCGATCGAGATAATCAACAGAACAGCGAATAGGACAGCGAACAGGACGGTTGGACAGACAGCGATTAGGACAGTGACTAGGCCAGCGATCGATCACAGTTGTGGCTAGGACAGTAGTAAAAACAGTGGCCAGGACAGCGATTAGGTCTAGTTATGTCTATCCCAGCAGTTCCTCACACAAAATAGGTGACAGACTGTTTACACGACCATGCCGAGGCCCTAACTGACTAGTCTATGCGCTAAAACTAGCGCAGAACCAACACTTTTGGTGCGCGCCTCCGTACATACATCAGCCTGTCTTCATCATGTCATTCATTCCATCCCCAAGTCTTCGCCACCAAGCCGCACAAGGGAGTGTTGCACTCAGCCATGTCGTAGTTCCATGTCCAGCCAGCGCCGTGACTCCGAATCCGCCAGCGTGTGGCCTTGTTCTCGACCTCCTGCCGTATGGCACCTCCCCTCTCGCCCCCAACAGAATCCTGCAAAATCCAACGTGCGGGTCGTCCGGATCCAAGAGCCTCATCGTGACATCCAGTCTCTGCTTCTGATCGCCTTTGGCCGTCTTCGCCGATACGTTGGCCTTGCACCGTGACCACGCATTCGTTCATTCCAGCTGGTCCGCCGGTCCCTCTTCACCAGGGAATTCCGATATCCATATGAAACTGCCAGGCTCGTCGTCATGGACCTCTTCAGTGGTCTTTTTTTCAGAGGAGCGTAGCCGCGCCAGCGTATCTGTAGACCTTGCAAGGAGACTCCGGAACATCTTCTCAGACCATAGGTCGTCTGGCCACTTGACTCCCCTCGGATCCCGTTTGGCTGCTTCTATCAGTGGATCCGCCTTTGCCACCCATTCCTCGGCGATGGTCATGTTCACGGGCTGCGACATCCTCAAGTTTCCGCGGCCGTCGAAGTATGCGGGAGCCAGTTGATGTCTATCTTGCTTGGTGAAGCGGGGTGTATTAATGATCTCTTTGATCTGCTCCTTTGTGAATTTGTTTTCCCAGTTCGGATGGTCGTCATCCAGCCGCGGGTATCTGCCTGCAGAGGTCAACGCCTTCTTCTCGTTCAAGGTCTCGTCGGGGTTTGCCGTCTTCGGTTTCGGTTTCCTCTGCAGGACGTCGGATCCCCAGTCAATGCGTTTCTCCCTGAATTCCACACCAGGCTGGGAATAATTGATCGTGAGCAAATAAGCGGTGGGTGCAATGGTCTCGCCCCGTTGTCGCATTCTCCTTTCCCTGATGGCTGTCCAATCCATGACGTTCAGACTTCCCCCGATGGCAGACTCTTCCATCCCGAGGTCCCAGCCATCCACAACTTCACACATCTGTTCGAAGGTGAACCAGATGTGCCCGTCTTGCGGACCAAAGACGAAGCCCTTGGGGAACTTGTCTCGTTCCTTCGGCTGTTGCAGCGGAGCCCTCTCTTCGTTGTTCACTTGCTCCTCGTGAACTGGTCCGTTCGGTCCCGACTGTGCCACTGCCGGCGCTCCAGCAGTATCGTCTCGTTCCGCAGGCATCTGGGCAGGTAGTGTCTCCGTCTGTCGCATCACCACGTCGCCATTGTCGTCGATGTCTGGTTCTCCAGTTTCCCAGGCCGGCAGGGCTGCTGCTGCTGTCGGAGTGTCAGTGTGGGCTGCCGTGTCGTTGCCGTCGCCGACTCGCGTTCGCACGATTGCAGGAGATCGCAACATGTTTGCTGCATGAGCGTCGGCCATTTGGCCACTTCTGTAGTGTGTGTCTTTGTGTGTCGTTCTTCGGGCGTCGCTCGGTGTGAACTCGCAGTGTCAGCGTCGCAAGTCGGTCTAGAGCGTGTGAAGGTTGTAGAAAGAACAAAGAAACCCAGCTATC